CGGGCGCCTGTAGTCCCAGCTACTCGGGAGGCTGAGGCAGGAGAATGGCGTAAACCTGGGAAGCGGAGCTTGCAGTGAGCTGAGATCCGGCCACTGCACTCCAGCCTGGGCGACAGAGCGAGACTCCGTCTCAAAAAACAAACAAAAAAAAAGAAATGTTGCTATCCTCTTAGATTAGTAATCCCCACACATTATTATTATTTAATTTTTATCACATCGTTTTGGAAATGTATATTATTCAAATAACCGTATTCATGTTGCTATTGTGTGTGAAACATTGTATGCTGGTAGTTTCTTTGAATGGGGTAGCCTTCTTGTTGTATAAATGACACTCATTAGAAATTCACTTGGGGCTGAGCGAGGTGGCTCACACCTGTAATCCTAACACTTTAGGAGGCTGAGGTGGGTGGATCCCGAGGTCAGGAGTTTGGGACCAGCCTGGCCAACATGGCAAAACACCGTCTCTACTGAAAATACAAAAATTCAGGCCAGGCGTGGTGGCTCACACCTGTAATCCCAGCACTTTGGGAGGCCGAGATGGGTGGATCACGAGGTCAGGAGTTCAAGACCAGCCTGGCCAACATGGTGAAACCCCGTCTCTACTAAAAATACAAAAAATTTAGCCAGGTGTTGTGGCAGGTGACTGTAATTCCAGCTCCTTGGGAGGCTGAGGCAGAGAATTGCTTGAATCCAGGAGGCAGAGGTTACAGTGAGCCGAGATCGCACCACTGCATTCCAGCCTGGACAACAGAGCAAAACTCCGTTTAAAAAAAAAAAAAACAGCCAGGCGTAGTGGCGGGCATCTGTAATCCCAGCTACTCAGGAGGCTGAGGGAGGAGAATCACTTGAACCCAGGAAGCAGAGGCTACAGTGAGCCAAGATCACACTACTGCACTCCAGTCTGGGTGACAGAACAAGACTCTGTCTCAAAAAAATTCTCTTGGGTACAAGTTGACAGTGGTAGGAAGTAGAAACGATTTTGCAATCACTTAAAATAGATCATTTCACCCTACCTCCAAACAATGTTTAATGCCTGCCTTGGTAACATGTCCAATTCTGTCCCTGTACAGATACCGAGTGGCAATCTGGGTATGTTTGGCAATAGTGGAGCAGCACAAGCCAGGACCATGCAGCAGCCGCCACAGCCACCAGTGCAGCCTCTTAACTCTTCCCAGCCCAGTCTCCGTGCTCAAGTGCCTCAGTTTCTATCCCCTCAGGTCAGACCCACATCCAAGCAGGACTAAGCAACAGGATGTAGATGCCGGTTTTTCGTGGGGTCCTGTGTTATCTGGAAGTCACTATTTTAAAGTGAGAGCTGAGTTAATCCATGTTTAAGAGAAGGCCTTCTGGTTTTTAAACTATAAATTAATTTTAGACTATAAAGTAGTAAACTGATTCTCCTGACCCAGGAGACATTTTCAGAGCTTGCTCCTTGGAATGCCTCAGCCACCCAAACTAACATTTGGCATCTTCCTAGTCAGAAGCAATATTGAGGGGAGAGGACCTGCCCAACACAATCCTATTGATGTGCTTTTGTCCCAGTCTTTCTCGAGAAAATTATTCAGATGAACCCAGTGAACTGTCCTAGTTTGGTGGGAGAGGAAAGTGACATGCTGTAGTATTGCTGAGGATGTAAAAGAAACCCTTAGAAGCAGCCAAGGACTGAATCATGCTTTAATGAGAAACTAAATGTGATCTTATATAATAGTATGTATATTATAGATTTTCAGTTATGTTTAATATTCAGCATTAGATCATTTTTGCCAATAGAGATGGGTTTTTTTTCTTTCTTTCATACCTTTTTAGAAGTGAACCGTAGAGATTGTTAAGAAAAAAAGGTTGCCGGGCGCGGCGGCTCACGCCTGTAATCCCAGAACTTTGGGAGGCTGAGGCGGGTGGATCACCTGAGGTCAGGAGTTCAAGACCAGCCTGGCCAACCTGGTGAAACCCCGTGTCTACTAAAAATACAAAATTAGCCAGGTGTGGTGGCGCATGCCCATGATCCCAGCTACTTGGGAGGCTGAGGCAGGAGAATCGCTTGACCCCGGGAGGTGGAGATTGCAGTGAGCCAAGATCACGCCATTGCACTCCAGCCTGGGCAACAAGAGCAGAAACTCCTTCTCAAAAAAAGAAAGAAAGGAAAAAAGGTCAAATCGAATTAAGGAAAAGGATATTGCTGTTTTGCATGGCTCTGAGGCCTAATATATATCAATTGTTGTTGTTAATATTGTTTATTTTTAGCACATTTTACAATTTTAGGCTTTGGACCAAGTTTCTAATTACAGTGTTAGTTCTTACCCCTTATAAGGTATTTGATGATCGATGGTATTGATAACATCTTTGCTGTGTGGGTAACTCAGGGCTCTGGTAATTCTTCCCACGTAATTCTGATGTGAAGGTTGACTGGAGCCTGCCCTGAGAGAGCAGCAGCATCTTGAAGTACTTACCACATTCTCGCATTCTTATAGCAGAGAGGGAAAAAACTGCTTTCTTCCCCAGAAGACCTCTAATATCAAGAAGATAGTTAAGATTTCTGAGGGATCTTATTTTCAAACTGTCCCAAAAGAGAACGTGTTAATTCGTCAATCTTCTATTATTCATAAAATTTAATTTAAATGTGTTCAGTTTGTTGGAATATAGTGTCTCAGTCCGTTTGGGCTGCTGTAACAAAATACCTTAGACTGGGTCATTTACAACAGCATGAATGTATTGCTTGCAGTTCTGGAGACTGAGAAGTCCAAGGTCAAGGTGCCAGACGATTCAGTGTGTGGTGAGGGCCCGTTTCTCATAGATGGCAACTTTTATGCATCCTCGTGTGGTGGAAGGGGTGAGCAGGCTTTCTCAGGCCTCTGTCATTAGGATGCTAATTCCATTCATGGGGGCTCCTGATCACCCCCCAAAGGCCCCAGCTCTTAATACCACCACAATTAGGGTTTAGGTTTCAACACAGGAATTCTGGGGGAGGGGGACACAGACATTCAGACAATAGCATATGGGAAGGCAATGCTAGCGTACGAAAAAGAGCAGGATGCACTAGGCACTGCACTGAGGGTAATTCTCACTCTATAATTGTTCAAATCCAGGTTTGTGCACTGAGTTGATAGTGGACAATTATCAGTGTAACTAATACATTTAACTATTATCAGGTAATAAGATAAAAGTTATTAGATAATAGTTAAATGTATTCATTAGAATATAGGATAAGCTACTATAACAAAGAGGCCTCAAAAAACAGTAGTTTAAACTAGGTAGACATTGATCTCTCTCAGGTTACAGTGCAGAAAGAAGCAGTGCAGGGATTGGGGGCAGCTCTGCCACAACCACTTCCCAGTAACAGGGAAAAAGGCAGCACTCTTGTGCAAGTGGCCTTGAAATTGCACACACCACTTCCAGTCACATCCCACTGCCCAAACCTAGGCCACAGCTGCTCCCAGTCTGAGAGGCAGTAGCAGAAGAATCAGTTCGTCTTACCCACACAAAGCAAACCAGCATGTCCCAAATGGCAAGGCATCTGTGTGCCATCTCACTGTTTCTTCCATATTTCCATGTTACCTGTAAGTACTGATAGGAAGGACACAGAACCTTGGAAAGTTCATTTATAATTAAAGTATTTGGAGGATGAGATCTCTGAAGACTTCCCTTCTTCCTTCCCTCCTTTCTTTTTCCTTTCTTATTCTTTACTTGCTAACTACTAATATTAAAATGTCCATACATTTTTTAATGGCCTTTGACATTTCACCCATGAGACAAATATAATTATTATTGCGGGATCTGGCCGGCAGCCCACAATGCAACAGGGCTCTTTCTTTGTTCCCAGGCAGATTGGCAGGTCGAGAAATAAAAGACACACACGAGATAGTGAAAGCTGGGTTCAGCATGTCACCGCCTTCTGGTCCTGCGATGCCGCCAATGCACTAGATATACCAGCATTTATTATTAAGTTTAGTGAGAGCAGGGTAGGTTAGTGAGGGATATAGGGTCGTTTGATTATGAGGTGAGATGATCACATGGGATGAAGTAATTCTTTAACATAATATCAGTATGCAGAAGTAGAGTATACAGAGATAAGAATTTACAATGTAGTGTGTGCATCAGCAATTTCTAACAGAGCCTTAAAACAGAAACACAGTCTGTCCATAACCTATGCTTAGTAAGATACTAATCAGTAGTAATAATTGCAGCAAAAGCTTGTTGCAAACAATCAATAGAAACAGGGCATGAAACTATACAACTGGTTAGACCACAAATTCTCAGAAGGGAGTATGCCTTAACCCTGAAGAGACCTAGAAGAGCCATGGCAAGCAAGATAAGGGCATTTATAACCCTATCTTATCCATATGAACAAGCATCCCTCATGCGTCCGTTTATAGGCTCTCCACAAGGGTTGTATTCCATTCCCAGAGCTATGAACATCTGCTTTTCTGGGATAGGAATCTTGGTGATGTGAAACCTCCCTGACTGCGCGTCCGTTGATAGGCTCTCTGCAGTGGGAAGCACATCATGCACTGTTGGCTCATTCTGGCCACCCAACCTTGCGTTGTCTTTATGCAGTCCTGCATGCAATTTTGTATTTACAATAATCAGGGGCATTTATTTTTTTTTCCGTAACAGTAGTTTCCGGGGATCTCCCTACAAATTATCACTTAATCATTTTTGAATTTTGAAAAACTACATGGGCAAGTAAGTATTTTAACAGAGATACAATGGCTGATTGCATATTTTTTGTTAAACAGGTTCAAGCACAGCTTTTGCAGTTTGCAGCAAAAAACATTGGTCTCAACCCTGCACTATTAACCTCGCCAATTAATCCTCAGCATATGACGATGTTGAACCAGCTCTATCAGCTGCAGCTGGTGAGTGGACAGACCCATGCGAGTTAGAGCACGCAGACCGAGTGCTCTCCTGGTGCCCGTGCAGATGCACCAGTGTGGCGCACCACTGAGAGCAGCAGTTGTGATAATGTTTGTCTTCACATTGGGGATGTCATTGAGACTGTCATGAAGTATTTAAACTCTTCATGAGTTAGGAAGTTCTCACTCAAAGGTGTCCTTACTAAGTTTTGTAAATGTTTTGGCCCTTTGTTTTTATTTTTGTTTTTGTTTTTGTTTAGAGGCAGCATCTCACTATGTTGCCAGGCTGGTCTGGAACTCCTGGACTCAAGGGATCCTCCCACCTCAGCCGTCTGAGTAGCTGAGACCACGGGTGTGCACCACTGCACATGGCTTGGCCTCTTTGTGTTCAAAAAATCTACCAGCTTTTATAATTAGGCATGTCTTTTCATTTGAGCTCTCAGCCAGAGTTTCTGAGAACCACAGAACACAAAAAATCATTTGAGTGACTATTTTCTGAATAATTCTAAGGATGGTATACATAAATACTATTCTAGAAGCACAGGAGAAAAATTGCTTTGTTACATATAGTAGATACCTTAGAACATTAGAACTTAATTCTCTCATGAAACCCCGGTCAAGAATGGCTGATGTGACCTAATAATTCTTGAAAGTTGTTTTTTTGTTTTTGGTTTTTTTTTTTTTTTTGAGATGGAGTCTTGCTTTGTCACCCAGGCTGGAGTGCAGTGGTGTAATCTCGGCTCACTGCAAGCTCCGCCTCCCGGGTTCACGCCATTCTCCTGCCTCAGCCTCCTGAGTAGCTGGGACTACAGGCACCCGCCACCACGCCCAGCTAACTTTTTGTATTTTTAGTAGAGACGGGGTTTCACCGTGGTCTCGATCTCCTGACCTTGTGATTCGCCCGCCTCGGCCTCCCAAAGTGCTGGGATTACAGGCGTGAGCCACCATGTCTGGACTGAAAGTTCTATAACTTTACATAATCTTGATTTTTTTTTAATTTTCAAATGATCTTACTGATTTTACCATAAATTGCCATGTCATTGTATACCTAGATGCCTACTGAAATTATATACACTAAAAGACCCAGTGAATTATTTCATTCTTTAATGTGGGTACCTGATTTGTTTAGCAGTCTTAGCCAGCAACTTCATCACCTAGCAAACGACTAGGAATCGGCCAAGCACAGTGGCTCATGCCTGTAATCTGAGCATTTTGGGAGGCCCAGGCGGGTGAATCACCTGAGGTCAGGAGTTTGAGATTAGCCTGGCCAACATGGTGAAACCCTGTCTCTACTAAAAATGCAAAAATTAACTGGGCATGGTGGTACACATCTGTAATCCCAGCTACTTGGGAGGCTGAGGCAGGAGAATCGCTTAAACCTGAAAGGCCTGAAAGGCGGAAGTTGCGGTGAGCCTCGCACCATTGCACTCCAGCCTGGGTGACAGAGCAAGACTCCATCTCAAAAAAAAAAAAAATGACCAGGAATCATGAAGGAAAAAAAATAAAAAAAAAAAAGAATGGGACTCCAAAAGACAAAACCATTGGCATAAGATCTTTGCTAATAAGAGAGTACTTGAGTCCTCAGTTCTTCCCCTTTGCCGTTTTTTAGACATATGTCCAACAAGTTTGAGGTCTGGCTTTTCTGTAAGCAGCAGGGGAGGATAGAAGGAAGGAGGGAAGGATGTGTCCCAGAGGCACATGCTATGTATGTGTCCTCGCTTTAAGGGAGAGCACAGAGCTCTAGACATGAGGTCAGGACCAAGGCTTGGCCCTCAGAAACTGTTTTTTCTTTTTCTTTTTTTTGAGACAGAGTCTTGCTAGTCTTGCTCTGTCGCCTAGGCTGGAGTGCAGTGGTGCAATCATGGCTCACTGCAGCCTCCACCTTGTGGGTTCAAGTAATTCTTCTGTCTCAGCCTCCCGAGTAGCTTGGATTACAGGCGCCCGCCACCACACCTGGCTAATATTTGTATTTTTAGTAGAGACGGGGTTTCACCATGTTAGTCAGGCTGGTCTCGAACTCCTAATCTCAGGTGATCCTCCCGCCTCAGCCTCCCAAAGTACTGGGATTACAGGCGTGAGCCACTGCGCCCGGCCAGAGACTGTTTTTTCATCTATCAGAAGGGAAGAATCGCTGTGGGGAGGCAGTGCACATGTGCAGTCCTGTTGCTTTCAGTCCTGCCAGCTGGAGACCACTGACCTCCAAAGAAAAGGAGACAGCTCTGAAAACAGGCACTCATAGAAAAAGCATGCAGGTTTAGAACTGTTACTATAGAGGAAGATTGCTTTCTGCCGCTTGATGCAGGCATTGCTGTATTCTGACACAGAGCTGATTTTCTTACTGATGTGCTAGAATCTTTTAGTTATACAGTAAGTTTTTATTGACCCCATGGTGTGAAAGACGTCAAGAAAATGTTGAATTACAATAGTGTGTTCTTATTTTAAAACAATGTATTCTGTTCTTAAATATTTTTCCAGAAAAAATGGAAAAATAAAGTTTCAGTGCTTCCATAAGGTTAAGTTTTAGGGCCTATAAGGATTTACTCAAGTATTTTATTCCTCCATGATTACAGATTAATGAGGCATTTCTAGTAGTACAATCTCCACCTTTATTTGGATTCTACTTTAATGAGTCCTTTTGCCAAAAATGTCCCTAAAATTCATGTTGTAAGAAAAAATGATGATATTCAACCAACATTTCAAAACAGTCAAGTGACCAAAGCTGCTATGTCAGTGTACAGAAGAATATCATAACTTTAACCAACTTTGTAGATGACAAGTTCGTGTGACAAAAATGCCCACAAATCTGCATTTCAGGTTCTCTCTTAGCTTTCATTCCCATGATGTTATGGAGACGACCACGTTGTTTAACACACATTATTCTTGAATGATTTGGGACAGTTACTCCCAGTGCTTTGCCACATTGTCTGGGCTGTGCTGGACTTCAGTATCCGTCATTATAGAATAGGTGGTGGTGGTGGTGGTGGTGGTTGTTGTTTAAGTTTCAGTTTGTATGAATCAAGCAGAAGAATTTTGATCTCTTCATTAAATGAAAAATATTTGCTGACCAACATCATCACCAACACTAAACGGGTATTGACTCTGTGATTTTTTTTAATTCTGTACACTAAAAAAGTGGATAAGACATTAATCTTTTAAAAGTGCTCTGTGCCTCCAGAATATGTGTCAGCCACAGCTGGGCGCGTTGGCTCATGCCTGTAATCCCAGCACTTTGGGAGGCTGAGGCGGGCAGATCATGAGGTCAGTAGTTTGAGACCAGCCTGGCCAACATAATGAAACCCCGTCTCTACTAAAAATACAAAAATTAGCTGGGCAATGTGGCACGTGACTGTAATCCCAGCTACTTGGGAGGCTGAGGCAGGAGAATTTCTTGAACCCAGGTGGCAGAGGTGGCAGTGAGCTGAGATTGCGCCATTGCACTCCAGCCTAGGTGACAGAGCGAGACTCCATCTAAAAAAAAAAAAAAAGAGTATGTGTCAGCCACAGTATGGGCCAAGAAGAGTGGCTAGGTTCTCTTTTTTCGTTTTTTAACTAATGTCAGAAAGTTGAACCATTAGTTCAACTTATACTTAATTATTATACTATTTTAACTCTTCTTTTTGTCAACAGGCATACCAACGTTTACAAATCCAGCAGCAGATGTTACAGGCCCAGCGTAATGTGTCCGGATCCATGAGACAACAGGAGCAGCAAGTAGGTGCTACCCAGATTGACTTTTGTCATGAGCTATAATTTTCCCTGATAGAAGAGATGCTAATTGATGAACTATTAGATGATCTTTGATTTTTCTCTAGCCAAGCCTTCCTTGAAAAATTCCTGGGTTCAGCTAGGTTTGGGAGGAGGTTGACCTAGCCAGTGGTGGCCTCAGCATAAAGACAATGAAGAATTCACCTAGTCCCTAGACAAGCCATGAGTGTCCCTTTCCACCTGGTTAACGAACCTATGTCTGTGCCTGCCAGGTTGCGCGCACAATCACTAATCTGCAGCAGCAGATCCAGCAGCACCAGCGCCAGCTGGCCCAGGCCCTGCTCGTGAAGCAGCCACCACCGCCACCGCCCCCGCCGCACCTGTCTCTGCACCCCTCTGCAGGCAAATCGGCCATGGACAGCTTCCCCTCGCACCCGCAGACTCCCGGCCTACCTGACCTGCAGACCAAAGAGCAGCAGTCTTCACCCAACACCTTTGCTCCTTACCCTCTTGGTGAGTGTCCCATGGTCTTCAACAGCCACATCAGGTAGAGAGAGTACCTGGAGTCCATATGTGGTAGCCAGGGCAGCATTTCAGTGGTTAGGAGGACTGGCCAGCGCTGAAACCATAGCCTGTTGTAAATGCAGCCCCAGACAAAATCACAGAACAGGTATCTCAAGGCTTTTTAACTTTAAAAAAAGTTTTTTATTATTTTTTGGAGAAATGGGGTCTCACCACGTTGCCCAGGCTGGTCTCGAACTCCTGGGCTCAAGCAATCCTCCCACCTCAGCCTCTTAAAGTGCTGGGTTTATAGATGTGAGCCACCATGCCCAGCCTCAAGAATTTTTAATAAGGGAGCAACACTAACCATGTTCTATAGAGCAGGAGTTTTGCTGCTGCCATAATACTCTCAGTATAAAACCTTTAAAGGTGGTACCAGTCAGAGCCTCCAATATCTCATTTCCATTGTCACATCTCCAGAGTTTGTTCTATTCCTAGTCTACTCTGAACTGTACTTTACCAGCCACTTCCTCCAGCCTAAACCGCAGAGAAGACTTTATAATGGTTTGGTCAGTAAAAGTATTCAGATTTACACCAAAAGCACTTCTTAAAAAGCAGTGGTTGTTGATACAACTCATTTTGTATGAAATGTGATTTGTATAATCAACGAAATCAACATATATATGTTGAAATCTAACTTGTAGAAGCACATAGGGCACATGAAACCTGCAGGTCACTATAAGACATGGTGCCAGGCCTCAAGGTCAGGCCTGCCAGGAGAGTCACAGCTCACATACCTGAAGACACCAGAGGGTATAAATGAGTAAATTGATTCTGCATGGACTAATTTGCTGTAAGAATTCAGAACTTAGTGAAAGCACTTTAGGCTTGTCTGTTGATTGCTATTAGAGTCTGTAGATGCAGGACAAAGGGTATCAGTAACTTGGAAAATACATCTGTAAAGGGCCAAAGGCCAGTTGAGTGGTAGTGAATTTGCTACCAGCAGATAATATTCATTTATCTAATTCTATTCAATGTCTCTCAAAAGGGCGGTGTATTGTAATCATTTGAACACTTTTTACTTGACATATTATAAATGTGATATATCTTTAATATGAGATTGATAAATACTAGACTAGATGATCTCGTTCCTTAATTATTGTCTCATCCATTAACACCCTTTGTGTCTAAGTAGTTAAGACCTGACTTAGGAATTAGATTGCCTAGGTTTGAGTCCCAACTCACCACCAACAGGCTCACTACTAACTTGGGCAACTTGCCTAGCTGCTTTTTGCCTCAATTTCTTTCTTTTTTTTTTTTTTTTGTTAGAGACGGGGTCTTTCTGTGTTGCCCAGGCAAGTCTCAAACTCCTGGCCTCAAGTGATCCTCCCTAAGTGTTAGGATTACAGGCCTGAGACACCATACCCAGTCATACCTTAATTTCTTCATCTGTAATGTGGAAATACTTAACTCCTAGGTTTGTTTTAAAGGTTAAATAAGCTAATATGTAAAGTTCTCTCTCTCTCTTTTTTTTTTTTTTTTTTTTGGAGACGGAGTCTCACTCTGTTGCCCAGGCTGGAGTGCAGTGGCGCGATCTCAGCGCACCCAGCTAATTTTTTGTATTTTTAGTAGGGACGGGGCTTCACCGTATTAGCCAGGATGGTCTCGATCTCCTGACCTTGTGATCCACCTGCCTTGGCCTCCTAAAGTGCTGGGATTACAGGCATGAGCCACCACTCCTGGCCTCTTTTTTTTTGGCTGGAGTGCAGTGGCATGATGATAGCTCATTGCAGCCTCAAACTCCTGGCCTCAAGTGATCCTCCTGGTCTCAGCTTCCCAAAGTGCTGTGATTACAGACATGAGCCATCACACCCGGCCTAATACGTAAAGTCTTTAAATAGTGCCTAGCACATAGCAAACACTTTGTAAAATATCAGCTACTTATGTAAGTGCTTCTGTTTTAGAAACAAATTTCTTTCCACCTATTATCCTAAAATGCGTTAGCGTCAGCTTTCTAGTATTCACCTGTCTTCTTAACCTGTATTTGGAAGATAAAGTACAGTTATCATGACTTTTTTTTATTTTTTATTTATTTATTTATTTATCTTTTGAGATGGAGTCTTGCTCTGTTGCCCAGACTACAGTGCAGTGGCGCAATCTCGGCTCACTGCAACCTCCACCTTCTGGATTCAAGCGATTCTCCTGCCTCAGCCTTCCAAGTTGATGGGATTACAGGCATGCATCACCACGCCTGGCTAATTTTTGTATTTTTAGTAGAGACTGAGTTTCACCATGTTGGCCAGACTGGTCTCGAACTCCTGACCTCAGGTGATCCACCCACCTCGGCCTCCCAAAGTGCTGGGACTACAGGCATGAGCCACCGCGCCCGGCCACTTATCTTTACTCTTAAGGGTTTTTTTTCTTAGTACAAGTTAAAGAATTCATGCAGTGAATCTTTGAAATTAGTTGAAAAATAATTTGGATAATATTTTATAATATTCACAGTGAAGTTATAAATGTATTAAAAACAAATAACTAATAAAGTATAGGAAACTCCGGTTGTAAAATTGCCTATCTTGCTGGCTCTCAGCATTTCTCTGCAGCAACACCTATGTTGAAGAGCCTATTAGAAACTCAACAATTCATGTAAAGAAACCAGCAGCCCATGGTCAGTAGTGGGGGCTCCCAGCTACCTTCCTTCCCTTACATTCAGCCTGTCCTTGTTATTCTCAGTCTTTTGCCACCTGGAGTTCGTCATTTAGATGGGAAGAGCAGGCATATAAACAGGAAAAAATAACCTTGATACCAGTGTCATGTGATTCTCACAGGGCTCTAGAGAAGGAAAAGTTCACTTTCACTTTGAGTGGAGAAAGAAAAATCAGAGAATAGTATTAAGCTTGAACCTCAAATGATTAGATAGGATTACAGTAAATAAAGAGGAAGCCTTTCCAAATGAAAGGGAAGCCTCACATAGCACAGAAGAAAGAGGCCTGGCCTGTTTCAGGGGCCCATTTTGCAAGGGCCAGGCCAGTCTAGCTGACTTTCCCAGAGGGGAAAGTTGGGAGAGAGGGGTTGGGGCCAAATTGTGGAATTCGGAGCATTCTGAAGGCCAGGTTGAAACCCTGACATTGTTGCCACCTTACCTGACTAGATCTGTACAAGCTGAAACGAAGAGAACTCAGAGATTGCAAGTAGGCAGCCCCGTGGCACTGATGGGCTTGCAAAGGCGTTTTGTTAAGTCTGCGAAGCGTGTATGTGCATGTGCGTAGGCGTGTGTTAATGCCAACATTCAAAAATTGGGGAAAGTGGCTTCTGGCTTCTCTTAAAAATGGCTTTAGTGGGTCTGTGTTCCATGTAGCAATAAGTGGTTGGCCCCAGTAGCACCTGTTTATTTAGACAGGACAGACATTCTCTGGTTTGCCATAGTCCCCTTGAGGCCCACCTCTTCATGTGCATGGCCACTTGGCTCCTATGGGCATTTGAATTTGCAGCCTCTGAAATAAAGGTAAGAACCAGAATGTTCAGCACCTGGCTTAGTAGTAGAGGCTCACTGTGCTTACGTACCATGTGGCATAGTTGTACATATGGTAAGGATCTGTGGAGTATGTGTATGTGGTAATGGGAACTGCAGCTGGAAATCCAAGGGGAGGGGGACCCCTCTGCTCGTTATTCCCTTCCAAACAAGCAGTCTGTCCTGCTCCAATCTGGTGTCCTCATCAGAAAGTCTTTACTTCAGCCTTTTTATCATTGTCCTCCTTCCTCATCGTCTTTCTTTATTAACCTAGCTTAGTACAGGTCCTGGACAGATAACCAGCTACCTGCTTTTCGCTATAAGAAATGAGCTCAGAAGCCTCAGCTCACCATCCCAGCTGGGGGCAGATGGCAGCACCCTATCTGTCAAATAGTTCAGTTCCTTAAAAGTAGTTTGATTTTAATTCACAAACTCTTTTAGAGCAGACTTTTGTAAAGGAAACTCACTGAAAGTAGAACTGAATTATCCTATCAGTCTGTTTCATAGGTGGTACTTTAGAGTTCTGGAAAAGTGTTTTTGACCCGATGAGTTTCCATAAGATATCCCAAAACCAGAAAAGATTTTCCTAATAGTTTGGACTTTTTCTGTTTTCCTGTGGACTCTGAGAAGCCTCAGGACCATGTTTATCCAGCACTGAAACAAGTAAAGTGAAGAGAGTCGTGGGCCTCACTTAATCAAAGGCTATTCACATTTTCACCTTAATTTAGGAGTAATATTCCGAGAAGTACATGCTGTTACGAAGATAAAAAGTATTTTTCACCAGCACTAAAAGTAACAGTTAAAATATTTTGTTGTATCCCAGCTACTTGGGAGGCTGAGGCAGGAGAATCGCTTAAACCCAGGAAGCGGAGGTTGCAGTGAGCCAAGATCATGCCATTGCACTCTAGCCCAGGCAACAAGAGCAAGACTCCGTCTCAAAAAACAAAAAATATTTTGCTGTAAGCAAAGACTGGAATAGCTTCTGTAGGAGAGCTTTAGAATGAAGTCTTTTAGAGGAGCAGGTGAATCCTAATCGGCATCTCTCTCTTTAGCTGGACTGAACCCAAACATGAATGTCAACAGCATGGACATGACCAGTGGCTTGTCGGTGAAGGACCCATCCCAGTCCCAGTCACGCCTCCCCCAGTGGACGCACCCCAACTCCATGGATAACTTGCCCAGTGCCGCTTCCCCCCTGGAGCAGAACCCTAGCAAGCATGGTACGTCTGGGCTAGGATGCCTGTGGTGGAATCACTGCTGGCTTATTAATCGATCTTCCTGTTGTATAACATGCCCATTCTATACTTTTCTAAGAATTGAGCGCTGAAAGTTGGATTTAAAATAACCCATTCCGTTATAGTGCATATAAGATCTCAGCTAGTCAGTGATCAAACTTCTTAAAAGCCAGCCATTAGATCTTAGCTACAAACCTAGAAATAATTTGAAAACCCCAGAGCAGCAAAGAATCTAGGTCATAGCCTATGTACTTTTTTTTTTATATCTCTATTCATCAACAAAAACTTGAGTCTGCTGAAATATTTTCAATAAAATAGTAAAACACAAATAGAAAATCAAATATGCAGTATGTATGGGAACTGCAGCTGTAAATACTAGGGTGCATTTCTGTTGGTTATTCCCCTCCATCCAAGCAGTCTGTCTTACTCCAAACTGGTGTCCCCATCAGGAACTCGTTACCGATGGACACACCAGTAAGGTGGAAGCAAAAATGATACCCGTAGGAGGTACTTTCAGGCATTAAATTTAGCTCTGAACTTGCTGGTAGAATAAACAGCAAAGGAAATTCAATAGGTTATGTAGTTCTCTCTTGATACAAAGCATTCTGAAAAGAAAAAGGAAACTATGTCTCATGGTTAACTTACGGAAAATCATCACACACTGCTGGCACCTTTCTTAGCAGGAGGGCCTTGCTGCCTGTGGCTGGTTGGTTTGGTTCTGTATGAATTTTTAGCATCCACTGTGTTCTTCCATAGTGAGGGTTTCAGACTAAAAGGAGGGAAGAGGTAAGAGCAAATTTGATAACTAATCACAAAGACTCATAAGTTGTCCCCAAAAAGGTTTATTAAGGGCAGCTTCCCATGGTATGGATATGTATTTTATAAAGATTTCTAACTGGACAAACTAAAATTGTTCTTCAGGGGTTTCGGTCTTTCAGGGCTGAAATTGGAGCTGGTTTAAATAGTCACTGGCCAGGCATGGTGGCTCACACCTGTAGTCCCAGCTACTTGGGAGGCCAAGGTGGGAGGATCACTTGAACCCAGGAGTTTGAGGCTGCAGTGAGCCCTAATCACATCACTACACTCCAGCCTGGGCAACAGAGCGAGACATTGTCTCAAAAAAAAAAAAAAACAGTCATTGATTCTTACAGAATCCTAGACAGACCAAGTCTTACAATTCATGTAACCGAATAGAGCAAGGCATTGGACCTAGAACAGAAGGTGCATAGGGAGGCTTAGGGTATCTTCTGCTGTCTCTCAACTGGAGAGTATTCACTCGCTTCTTTGTTTCCTGTTGTCGCCATAGGTGCTATCCCTGGAGGTCTAAGCATTGGGCCTCCAGGTAAGTCCTCCATTGATGACTCCTATGGCCGGTACGATTTAATCCAGAACAGTGAGTCACCAGCCAGTCCTCCCGTAGCTGTTCCCCATAGCTGGTCACGTGCCAAATCTGACAGTGATAAAATCTCAAATGGCTCTAGCATCAACTGGCCCCCAGGTAAGACCGTGCAACACTTCCATGCAACAACAGCAGGTCAGAACGTGCTCCAAGCCTGCAGAGAGTGATGAGGCTGGGAGGACCCAGAATCTGAGCTAAGGATCTGGAAGCGTTAAGCCCAGAGCTTTGGCATTTTCCTTGGAAATCCATTTGTCAGATCAATTTTGGGTATGGTTAGCATCAGGCATTTTTCTGTAATCCCTTAGTTCAACATGAGAAGTGGAAGGGGTGGCAGGGAGGAAGCACGCTGTATACCATCTGGTAAAACTATTCCGACTCTGTGTGAAAACTATCTTAATATGATAGCTAGAATACCTGGTTCTAGTTTGTTCCAAAGGATTGATTGTTTTAATGAAAGAGAGTATCAAGAGTATAAAGTGTACCTCTCATTTAGCAGATTATAAAAATTTCTACAAACAGGACAAAACATCTTTTAAAATGTCATCAATCAGTGTGCAGATGTTCTGATCTGTGGCTTCTCATTTGGGTTTCTTAAACAGAATTCCATCCGGGAGTTCCATGGAAAGGACTACAGAATATTGACCCTGAGAATGACCCTGACGTCACTCCTGGCAGTGTCCCCACTGGGCCTACCATCAATACCACCATCCAGGATGTCAACCGCTACCTCCTCAAGAGTGGAGGTGAGGGTGCTGCTCTGCCTGCCTCTGCGCAGGTGGTCTCTCTAGACCCATTTGAAGATGTCAGGGGTGACAGGTTGGGCTCTGAGGCAGGGATGATACAAGGCACAGTTGAAGCAGTCATCTGAAGCAGCATGAAGAGA